CTTTTTTTTCTTTCTTTTCTTTCTTTTTTTCTGTCTTTTCTTTCTTTCTTCCTATTCTTTCATCATTATTTTTAAAATTTAAAATATATTTATTTATATTTTCTTTCGTTTTTTTTTTTTTTTTATTTATTTTTCCAGATATTTTTAAACAGTTTTTGTTTGCCTTGCTTTCAATATTTTTCTTTCTTTTCATTTCCATATATTTCTTTCTGTTTGTTTAGCTTTCTTTCTTTCTTTCTTATTTTCCTCTTTTCCACCATTCTTTGACTCATTTATTTTCAAAATTTTCTTTGTTTGCCGTTTTCTTTTTTCTTTCTTTCTTTTCTTTCTTTCTTTTCTTTATTTTCTTCTTTTCCACCATTCTTTGACCACCGATTTTCAAAATTTTTTTTTCAGTTTTTTTTCTTTTTTTCTTTCTTTCTTTTCTTTCTTTTTTCTTATTTTCCACCATTCTTTGACCACCGATTTTCAAAATTTTCTTTGGTTGCAGTTTTCTTTCTTTCTTTCTTTCTTTCTTTCTTTCTTTCTTTCTTATAATTTCCTGTTTGATTTTTTCTTCAATTTTCTGTATTTGTTTTTACCTTGATGTGTTCGTCCTACTTTTCTTTTTTTTTTTTTTTTTGACATATTTTTAAGCATTTTAATTTCTTTCTGTCATTTTAGGAGATAGCATTTTTACTGTTTTTTATTACATACTTTTATCAATTTTATTTCTTAAATTTTTTTTAGCTTCGTTTTTACTTTTTCTCATTTGAGTTTTTGTTCTCTCATTATTTCTTTTTACTTTTAGTTTTTTATTTGCTGATATTAAAATTTCGATTTTTCATTCCTTTGTTTTTCGTTCTTTTTTTTTTCTTTTTAACTACATTCCGTTTCCGCTTTATTTATTTCTCATTTTTTTATTTTATTGTCTCTTTCTTAATTTCTTTCTCTTTTTGGTTTACTTGTGCTTTCTTTCTTAAATTTCCTTTTTGCTTCTTATACTCCTTTAATTTCAAATTGTTTTTTTTTTCTTTCTCATTCTTTTTTTTATTTTGCCTTTTTTTTTCAATATACCAGCATAATTCTCTTACTGTATGTTTGCTACATTTCTCTCACCCCTTTTCCTTTTTTCACCATGATTTTTTTTTATTATATACGACATTTTTTTTTACAAATGTTCCACTTCACTGATCCAGACTTTTTTCCTTTCCTATCGTTCCTCTCTTTTTTTCCGATTTTACCTGTTCATCAGTTAATAACAATCTCAGCCCTCTTTCTCCTGACAACTTTCTATGCCCAAGACGCTGTCTTTAGTGCCAACAGAAAAGAAAAAACCATTATGCATCTGCCGATAACTGCAAAACTATCAATGATGGAGCAAAACTATAATCGATGTCTTCATACTGTTCCGGTTCACCACCATATCAGAATTCCACTTATTGTTCCGTCTGGTCTTAACAAGTTACGTCTGATTCTTCATTTCTGTCAGACTCCATTGTTTCCCGCAACGACGTCAGCAATATGAACGCCCATTTATCTATAGCGCATGCGCATTCTCTTTACGTCTGTGTGTGTGTGTCTGAAGAGGTTCACTTCCGCTTGAATTTTTGTAGCCTTGCATGTTTCGATTCTACGTTGCACGACTCACTATATAGCGTTCATCTCTTTTATTTTTTTTTATTTCTTCGCTTGCTATTATTATAATCAGTCACGGCGCAAGAAAGTTGGAAATTATTTCTGACTCAAATTAATAATTGTACGTTCTGAATGTATGACTGACTAGTTTTGTACATGTCTGGCTTAGTAGCGGAGGGTAAGAATAAATATTCAGACTGGAATATAGAAATTTATGAATGAAATTGTTGAGGGAGAGAATTTACTTCAACAACAGGTTTAAAGGATATTCCGGACAAATAATAAACATATTTTTGAAGTCCAGGTTTTACCATCTATCTATCTATCTATCTATCTATCTATCTATCTATCTATCTATCTATCTATCTATCTCAGTCTGTCCTATCCATCTATCTATCTATCTATCTATCTATCAATCTCTATCCATAAATCTCAAAATCTCATCCAGTCAGTTCATATCTATCTGTCTATCTATCTATCCTCATCTGTTTTTATCTCATCATCTATCTATCTATCAATCTATCTAGTCATCTATCTATCTATCTATCTATCTATCTCAATCTGTTCATATTTATCCATCTATCTCAGTCTGTTCACATATCTATCCATCCATCTATCTATCTATCTATCCATCTATCTATTTCAGTTTGTTCACATCTATCTATCCCATGTTTTATATCTATATCTATCTATCTATCTATCTATCTATCCATCTATCTATCTCAGTCTGTTCATATCTATCTATATCTATCTATCTATCTATCTATCTATCTATCATCCCATTCATCCCTTTGTTTGTTCATCTATCTATCTATCTATCTATCTATCTATCTATCTATCTCATCTGTTCAGTCTATCTTCATATCTATCTATCCATCTATCTATCTATCTATATATATATATATATATATATATATATATATATATATATTTCAGTCTGTTCATATCTATTTCAGTGTTCATATCTATCTATCTATCTATCTATCTATCTATCTATCTATCTATCTATCTATCCCAGTCTGTTCATATCTATCTATCTATCTATCTGACAGATCAATCATTATGTAATACAATTCCAAATAGTTGCAGTAGCCCCTATTATTGAACACATTCAACATAAATAACAGCTACAACCTTATTTGCTTCAGTGGTGGATCTACTATGAAATTAATGAAGCTGAAGCCTCAGCGACCATAATCCCAAGATGTACCCTGAAGTAAGGATTTTAATGAGCCATTTTAATCAAAGATTTTTTCCGCAGTTCGTCTGAGCACTTTGCGTGGTAGTATTGATAGAGCAGTGAGACACTCTCCACATCCCGCCTGTGAGAGAGAGAAAATAATTGTGGAAAATAATGCGTTTGAACTCTATCAAGACGTCTGCGTAGCTCCTGCCCAAATATGGCAACAGTACACCGTTTTATTTATAATACTCTTAGAAAAGTAGAGGCTAGCATGAAGAGTCAGGTACTTGCTGGAGTGGAACCTGTATCTTTAGGAATTCTACTTGAGGTCCCGTGTGAGTTTAAGACACAATATCTTCGCGAGGCATCCGGTGTAGGAATGTATCCAGTTTGGTTTTAGAGCCACTGAACATAACCATCCAGTTTTTTTCCTTACCTCCTTTCGTTCTCACTTATTTACTGACACACTCTCTCAGACGTAGCCATAAAGATAAACACTGATTAATTACAAAATTAAATCCTACTTTTCATGAACGATTACGTTAAGTTATATTACTGAGTCCTTTAACTGCGTTAGCAAATATCTATTTTCCTGTTATTTTTATTAATATCTTTGCAGTATTTCTGGAGTTCTGGAAGCCAAGATTACGAATGTCAGTTTAATGTTCCTCAGTTATTTTTTAGAAGAGTGTAGAGGAAGGTTTGCCTTACTGATCAATTAACTAGACTTCTTTTGGTAACACACTGACTCGTGTTGAAATTCTCGCAGTATTTAGTATTGTTGACGTTATCGCTAACATTTTTTGTCGGGATTTACAAACTCTACATTTCGTTCAACTTCGCAAAACAATCGATAAAATTTGAATAAGCTGATTTGTTTGGAAACTTATTTTGACAAAAACCCTACTTCGCGATCTAATAATTTGTTTAGTTTAATTTTATTGGGCATAATGGTAAACAATATTCTTTAAGAAAATTTATTTTCTCCTTTTTACCTTTTTAACGGCGTAGAATAAATTCTTAGGATTTCTTACTCTTGAGCATGCAGCATATAACTGACCATTTCTTTCTGGAGCCAAATTCCGAATTTTTGAAGTGTTTGACTTGTGATTCGTTTATAGTTCTCACAAACGTAGGGCGCACTGAAAAAAAACTGGTTTCGTATATATCAAAAGCGATGTTGCATTTTTAGTAAATATGTATTTGTTATTTTAATCATTAAACTGTTGGTTTTTTTTTTCCAAAATAGTGAGAATATTTTGTATGTTAAATAATGAAACTTTTGATTTTTCCCCCCAAAAATAAAAAATAATGAAAATTGATTGTACTAACCTACGCACCTTAGTAAAACCAATTTTACTTTGTACCCACTTATCTGTGCATTCTCGCAAAATTTGGTTTCGATCGATCAGTGTATGGCCATTTTACAGGGTGTGACGGTCAGATGGGGTATGGGGAGTCACAGAATTTAATATATACATAGATGTTATATCTCTTTGCTATCTTCTTAAATCTGTCAAAATTATATCTTCCGGAATTAATTCGCCCCATACTAAAATTTGACTGAATGGACATAATGGAGCCTGTTGGCCGCATGCAAAGCGTTATCTTTATTTAAAATTCCACGCCTAATTTTCTAAGGAAAACATCGTTTATTTTTTGTCCACCTCCTTTCGTTCTCACTTGTTCACTCACACACTCTCTCAGATAACACACTGATTAAGTATTAGGTTGGTGCAAAAATAATGACGTAATAATGACGTTTTTTGACGTATTTTTTATGATCAAAAAACGACATTATTACGTCATTATTTTTGCACCATCCTAATACAATGTTTCTTCAACTTTATACGCTTTATATGAAGGTAGATTTTTTTTTTTTCAGCATTTTAAATCACTAGAATTGTTTGCAGCACACAGACGCATATTGAAATCCTCACGGTATTTAGTATTGTTGAAGTTATCTCTAATATTTATTCGAGATTTATAAAGTATACGCTTGGTTCAGGTTTTCGAACAAATCGATCAACTTTAAATAAGCTGATTTGTTTGGAAAACTACTTTGACAAAACCTCTACTTCACGTGTTTACGCACCCTCGTACAACCAGCTGTACCTCCTAACATGTTTGCACTTTTCCCGAAAATTTAATTTCAATCGATGTTATTTTAATCATTAAATTGGTTTCGGTCGATCAGTGT